CGTCGTCGTCGTCGTCGTCGTCGTCGTCGTCGTCGTCGTCGTCGTCGTCGTCGTGCGCTCTCAAAACCCCCCGCGCACGCATACGCATATATACGTATAGCGTTTCATGGGGAGAGCATCGTTCTCTCTCTCTCTCTCTCTCTCTCTCTCTCTCTCTCTCTCTCTTCCCCCCTCTCTCTCTCTCGCGCGCGCACGCTTTCCCTCTCCTTCTTTCCCTCTGTCTTTTCCTCCTTCCTTTCACTTTTATTTTCTCTCTCTTCCCCTTAAATTTTCTCTCTTTTTCTCCCTTTCGACCGAGCCCCGATACGTTTCACTCGCACACGCTACGACGCTCTTTCCCCCTTGTACAGCCCCCTTTGCTTCACTACGCGTCGCGGGTGCCTTACCAACGCTCGACGCGTCGTGGCACGGCGTACCCAGCGATTCTAACCCTGCATCTTCGCCTCAAAAGAGGTTGCTTCTCATCAACAAAACAATGCTCATTTCTTTTCAGAATGAATTTTTCTGTTTATAATTTTTTTTCACTCTGTGTGCGATAGAGATGGCATTTTAGAGATAATTGTAATCTACATCCTAATATCAACAATTATCAATATTTTAACGCAGTACTATTAAACATAGAGGTGATATAAATCGAAGGACACAAGACACGTGGGCCTTGGAACGCGTATAAATACTTCCGCATTTATAATATTCTAATTAAAAAAATATACTTGTTAATCAATGAATAAAAATAAAAAAATAAGAATTTAAATAAAATAAAAATTTGTTAAAATATTATCTACTTTTAAATTCTGTAAAAACCAAGCAACAACATCATCTCAATAAAACACTCACCAACATGATCGTCATTTCTTAAGAAAAAATACTTCATCAAATTCATCATAAAATCGTGTAAAATATAAAAAGTAATATACCACAAAAGTAATAATACATAATACACAGTCACTATATTAAAACTTGATAATTTGTACAGATCGAATCTTCCAGAAAGAATTTTTTGAAAGATACGTTAATGGTAAAGCTGACTGGTAAGTTTGCACTATTTGAGAGGCACTTATATATAATAGATTGATAAAACGAACAAAATTATTATTGTTCGTGCAATAGCGTAAAATACTACTGCTCCTTCACGCTGAATATTTCTAACATTGAAGGTTAAATGTTTTTCTCTGACCTTGATCATAACATCAAGGAAATTTAGTGAGTCAGAGCCTACTTCTAACGTGAATTGTAGACGTCAGTGAAACGAATTAAAACTTTCGAAAAAAACGAATTGATTTCAGAGGAAGGAACAGCAGCAATTAGATTGACAACATAACGATAATAAAAAAGAAACTAATTATTGTAAAATAATAAAGACATTCTCTCTAATTATTAAGTCTGCAATGATGGGTGACAACGGAGAACCCTAGGCGTGCCGAAATTCTGTTTATAGATGGTATTATTAAATGTAAAATATGTTGAATCTAGAATAAACCTATACTGCAGTCTATGTTCTGTAATCACTGAACATCGACTGCAGATGACACATGATTTTGATTGGAATAACATCCAGATACTTGATGAAGAGCCATGTTATAATAAACGCTTAATTTCTGAAATGTTAAATATTAAAAAGCAAAAAAAAACAGTCTTAATTTCCAAACAGCACGGGAGGGCCTACACAAAACATATACATCGATTATAAATAAAATTTAACATTGTTCTTATCTAGTTTTGTCAATCTATTAATTGCCTCTCAGATAGTGATAGCCTTACCGTTAACATATCTTTCAAAACATTCTTTCTAACAGATTCGATCTGTACAAATTATCAAGTTTTAATATAGTGACTGTGTATTACGTATTATTATTATCTGATTGGTATACTCTTATATTTTACACGATTTTATGATGAATTTGACGAAGTATTTCTTTTTAAGAAATGATAATTACGATCATGTTGATGAGTGTTTTATTGAGATGATGTTGTTGCTTGATTTTAACAGAATTTAAAAGTAGATAATATTTTAACAAATTTTTATTTTGTTTAGATTCTTATTTCTTTATTTTTATTTATTAATTAACAAATATAGTTTTTTAATTTGAATATTAAGAAATTCCGAACAATCGGTCAGTAAATCGCTTACAAGTAATTCATGGTCTCTGTGAGGCATTCATCAATATCGCTATGTAAATCGGAAAACTTTCGTCACAATTTCTCTATGACAATGGAAATGATTTTTAAGGTTGTGAATTTTGTATTATATTGTATGTGAGGATGACTCAATCCAAGAACCGAAACATACATAATGTAATGTAATGTGTTTTACAATGTATTATTTATAGAATTTTCTTATACATTTAATATATCATATTATAGTTCTTACATTTATACTTAATTACGTTGACTCTTATGTACCATATATCTTTGTCTTTTAAGAAACTAAGAATCCTGTACTATTTCTTATTTGATTCCTCTTAAAAAATACGACATGAGCAATTACTATCTACTGTTACGACTTTTATATCCTTGGCATTGTACATGTACCTTTGTAACTACTCAGGCTCAAAATTTTATCGAAATAAAGTTTAAAATAAATTTGATTTTAAGTTAAAGCTTTTGTTTTGTTATACTTTGTCTTTTCCGTAATTTTCGAAAAGTTCTTATTATTTGATTTGCAATCGAAAAGCTATGAGTTCTTCAACTATCGACTTTTTTGTGCAAAAAAAAATTGATTTGATATCACCGAGAGAGCTGCATTTCTCAAAAAAAATCATCCAAAAAGAAACTAGCGTAGAGAATCATTCTACACATTCTGTAGGAATCTTCTCATGCTAATGCTTGACGCTTATTTTTAGCGTTTTGTTATCAAAATTGACATTCGATTTTCGTTAATTTTCACGTAGCCTAAGTATATGTTGAAGCTAAAAATAAATGTCAGCATGAAATGATTCGAATCTTTTAAACACATGTTATTTCAATCTCATTACATAAAACAGATTCTCTCTCTCTCTCTCTCTCTCTCTCTCTCTCTCTCTCTCTCTCTCTCTCTCTCACGTGACGTAAACTATACATTTCCAATACTGGCAGTAAATTTTAGAACTCAGCCATACGTTTAAACACTTTACAACTAGAATACAGAATTCATTAATTCAGAAAGAATACAATTAAAATTTTAATATAAAGTAGTGCAAATATATTTACATGCTTTGTTCGTCATTTCGTGAAATGAGTTTGAGCATGTTGGAGCATGTTGGAGCATGCGAACAAACCTGAAGGTTCGAACTTTTCGAGTTTTCTAATTATATTATATTACTTGTGCTATGTTGTGCTACGTTTGATTTGTGCAGCTCAATAACATGAAGTGTTTCCCAGAAATAAAAAAAATATATTTTTTGCTGATTCCGCACTTTTCGAATTTTGTAATTTTCTTGATTGTATTGTTTTGCTACATTTGTGTCAAATTGTGCCGCAAACCATAGCTCAATAACATGAATTTTATTGACCTTCAACAATACCGCGAAATCTGTTAATCTGAGGAAACTTTTCCATAAGAAAAAGTTGTTGTACTGTCGCACAATCCGGCATAACTAAAAAAAAAATCCAAAAATATTAATTTTTTTTATTTGCCCTCACCCTTTTTCTAAAATCTTCTATCAATTCTTAAGCTAATCTCTATTTTTTATGCATGTGCCTCATAGATTTCAAGTAGCACAATTCAGTACAACTCGCAGAATTCAATTATCTGACACCATTCGCAAATTATATGGGTTTGGAGTGATTCATTCCCAAATATTACTAAGGCTAGCAAAAATATTTTTAACTCTTTATGTTATTGAGTTGCGGTTTGCGGCAAAATTTGGCATAAACGTATCACAACACAGTTTACAATCAAGAAAATTACAAAAATCCAAAAGTGCGAGGCCAAATTTATAAATGTCCTGAAGACATACTCGTATGTGCCCCTATGTGTATACATAAAATATCAAATATGTCCCGAATAACTTTCTATTGTCAATTCCATATAAATAAGAAATATATATATTAATTACTCATTGGAACTGATACAATTTCTATCATCTATTTTACATTGTATCTGATAGAAGATCTTCATGTAAAATATCAAGTTTCGAATGAGTCTTTATTGTCAATTCTGCACAGAATATGAACATAAAATGCGATATATACCTAAATAATTCCTATTAATTATTATTATTATTATTATTATTAGGCGTTAAGAACTCGAAAGCTCATTGCCGCAAATACCAAATCCCGCCACTGTACCCGTCCCTGAGTAAGATCACTCCAATAATTCCTATTTTACTTTTGATTCCTAAAATAATTCCTATTAATTGAATAATTAAAATCAGATATTACAATTCCGATTTGAAACGATAGCAATTGCATCTAACTTAAAATATACCTGCGATAGGTTTTATAAATAGAGATTAATTTTATAAATATTTAATTCTTTCTTATATTTCTATCGAATTTTCTTATTGAAAATAGCAAATTTTATCCTAATAGATAAAACTGGTTATTTCATGAACAATATTTATTTTATGAACAATTTTTAGGAACAATATACATAATAATGCCTGTAAGCTATAACAATTAAACTAATATTAAGCGTTTATAAAATTACAGGTAACATGTTTATAAAATTACAGGTAAAATTAAAGAAGCGATAATGTTATTCATTCAACTATGTAAATTTCTTATTGCTTACAAACTGAAAAATCTCTTCAATAGATGCCTATTAAGCAAAA